TTCCCATCCAGCTCCCTGCCTGTGGCCCAGGAAAGCAGTGAAGGACGGCCCAAAGCTTTGGGACCCTGCACCCGTGTGGGATACCCAGAAGAGGCTCCTGGCTTCGGATTGGCATAGCATTGGCCCTTTGCGCTCACTTGGGGAGTGAATCATCAGATGGAAGACCTTCCTCTCTGTCTCTCCTCTCTGTATATCTGCCTTTCCAATAAAAATAAAATAAATCTTTAAAAAAAAATCTGGATGAATCAAAAGCAGCCAGCTGTGGCAATAGAAGGCCAGCTAACAAATTCAACATCCCAAGAATTGCTATCAGAGCAAAGCATTCAGCCAAGCTTCCAAAGGGTTTAATGTCATCTTCCTGCTATTCAAATTCACAATGAACAGCTTGACACTGCACTTCTAAGACTCTGGAATTCCTATGCCACAAACAAGCAATCAGTACCCATGCTAGGAGCAACATTATTATGGTTGTGTGGAAATGTATGTCAGTGACATGATCAGAGTTTCTGGTCCACTGCATCTCCAATGCAACAAACTTTTACTACATTTTTTTTCATTCTTACACAACATTTATTGTACAAAAATTTGCTCTTAACTTTTCAAACAAGTATTTAGCAAGAATGACGAAGTGCAATTGTGACACAGATTTATAAATCATGAGTTTAACATCATGAATGAAGAATTAGGTAAAGATGAAACATTCTCTCCAATAGGCAGAGATCTTTTCTGTGTCCTCCCCATAGAGCATCAACTGATATGGGGGATGCTGATTAAAACAGTATAGAAAAAGTATATGGGAACAAGGCAAAAGGCTCAGTATTTTTCAATAAATATGCAAGATTTCCAAGGAATGCTTGTTTTTCTAGGCTGTTTTTGTTCATGTGGCTGTAATAGTTGGACAGAATGCTTCTACCATCACAGCAGGAGATAAGGATGGGTTGATGGACTGTAGCCGCATGGCAGTTGCTAGCGAGCCACTTTTACTTTCAGTTTTTCTAATTCATCAGTCAAATGTTATTTTTGCTCCATACTTGGTTCCTTTCTCTGTGTTTTATAGTTTGGGGAGTTCATGAGTCTGACTCTGGGGATTTGAAAGATTTTCGCAACAGTTGTACTGGATCTAAAGCAGAAGATGTGGGAACAGTAATGACAGGCTCCGGATCCAGCAAAACATTTTTCTTTTCACAATCACCTGCACTTGGACCTCCTTACTTAAATCATACTCATGAGTAGACTCCTCAGTTTTCACCATCACTTTAGATGGAGACAACACCGTTCCATCATCCTGAACCATACTGACAGCTGCTCTGATCAAAGCCCAAACAGTCCAAAAATCTATGGGCACCTTCATTGCCTGTCTCAACGCCTTTTCTACATTCCCATTAACTCTGAATCAAGTTTCCAAGTTAAAAAAATTCTCCTCCGTGAAGCAAGGAATAAACTCAACAACAATCTTAAGAAAACAATCTATCCTGGGCCCAGCGCAATGGTGCAGTGGTTAAGATCCTCACCTTGCACGCCCAGGATCCCATATGGGCACCGTTCTATCCCAGCAGCCCCACTTCCCGTCCAACTCCCTGCTTGTGGCCCAGGAAAGCAGTCGAGGATGGCCCAAAGCTTTGGGACCCTGCACTGGCGTGGGAAATCTGGAAGAGGCTCCTGGCTTCGGATTGGCATAGTATTGGCCGTTGCGCTCACTTGGGGAGTGAATCATTGGACGGAAGATCTTCCTCTCTGTCTCTCCTCTCTGTATATCTGCCTTTCCAATAAAAAAAAATAATAAAAATAAATATTTAAAAAAAAAGAAAACAATCTATCCAAACTTGAAGATTTGCATCCCATTTTGCTTTAGAGCATGATGCACAAGAACAGCAAACAGTAGACTGAGCTTGTCCCATTGTTCTGTAATAACTTACCTCAAGAAGTCTTTTGGCATAAACCGTGGCCTCCAGTGTCTTCTATTCCAGTGCATGATAAGGCACCAATTGTCGATGACCTCTCAGGAGGTCAGGACCCAAGGTGTGGTGACCAGATGGGGAAAGATTGGGGCACAAGTGATGCAAGGCGAGTGAAGCAATACACACTTTACGAAACTCAACAGGGTATATATGTACTAGGCAAGTTACCTAGGCAACCATGGAAAGCCCCTCTGAAGAAAATGAAGCAACAATCAGCATAACAGCAAAGGAGTAAACATGTGTTACAGGATCGGATTCTCGCAATCAACCCAATTAACTGAGGAAGGGGATATGATCGACTACAAGCAACTAATGAGAAAGGAGGCACAGAGAGGTGCTGCTCATTCCCAGCCATGCTTGGCCAGTGAGACAGCCACAGTCCCACGCAGGAAGTCTGCTTCCTGCTAGCACTCTCAGTAAGCTGAGAATGTATGAGTTCTGGGGTACTAGGGCATTTGATGGGATGGTTCAGAGATGCACTTCCACACTACAGCCAACTCTTAGGTTGCCAAATTGAATAGTATGATTTTACTTTTATTTGCTTAAATATACTTTTCACTTTTAAAATTTATCATTATAAAACAACATTGTAAATAAGATATTTTCATTTATTTAGGGTATAAAATATGACAATTGATATTGGGTTTAAAAATATTAACTACAATGTATTAGTCACAGGCTTACTGCACCACTAACCATTGTATTCAACAAGTAAAAAATTAGAGAAATCACAGTTTTCCGGGAGGAGAAGCAACAATCAAATCTCAAGATTGTCTTTCCATTTCTACATTATTTTTGAGGTCAGAATTTACTATGACTATTATGGAACACATGATAATTGTCTTTAGGAATTGGTTTGTATCACTAAGCCAAACATTTTAGGGTGATGGATGAAATGGCAACTATTTGTGATTGCCACAGAGCAGGAGAAAGAGAATGGGAATTCACCTGAGTTCATCATGGTCTCTTGGGAAGCATCTGCAAGAAAATGGCTTTCTGTTACGATCACATTCCCTTGGGGCCAGCAGGTGCTTGGTGCCAAGGGAGGTGCCTAATGAGCAGGTGCCAGGAGCTGTAAGTAGTTATTCTGCTGTGGTCCCTCAGACTGTGCAATGTTGGTCTAGAAGCAGCCTGCTTGTTGCATTTGCTTCCTGAGTGTGGCTCAGGGACCAGAGCTTCCCTCCTTCCCTCTGCTGCGCCTGAGATGGAGCATCAGTCTCCAGCATCCACCATCCAGGGAGGTATTTGGGCATCTACACAGCCATCTTCTTCCCACAGTTCCTGTGCAGGTGAGCCTAGCAGACACTGCAGCAGGGGTTCCAGCTGTGCACACAGACAGCTTTCTCTAGAGTCAGCCAACATTGAGCTAACCAAGCTAACGCAATAAACGGACATGGAGTAGCTGATTTGTATAATTAACTAATGAATGCATTTGTTCATGATTATCAATGAGCAGGAAGACATTGGCTTTCCTTGGACAGTGGTCATTGCTGATGAAGCAATGAGGGTAAGAAAAGATCAATTCTAATAGAAAATGAGTGGCATGAGTTGCCCAGAGTACATATAGCCAACTTAGCAGCATTTGGAAATCTGCAGGGAGCAGAGAAAATTTTCAGTGTGGAGGGACATGTGGTGCAGTGAGGGAGTATCACTTTTTCAGTGCAAGGAAGCTTGGTTGTCACCACTCAAAACAAATTAGAGACGAGAAAATGACCAGTACTGTCCCAGGAACAGCTCCTGCAGACTGAGTCACAATGGAGCCCATTCAGGTAGTGAAGAGTTGATGTAACATACTGTCCCCATATTAACAGGAAAAGACCAGTTGAGGGGAAAGGTCTACATGAAAATCCGGATAGTAGCAGTTGCTGGAACACACAGGTCTCAGGGTCTTCTCTCACTATACTCTCACTTAACTCAATATTATCTTAACCAGGCAGACCAAAGACACCTGCTTGACAGTTATTGCATCATCTGTGAGTTGGATATAAGTTTGTGTTTAGAGCCACTTGCATTTTCTCTAGCAATTTCAGAACCTTCCTGGTGTGCTCTGAAGGTAAGAGAGAGTTTTATTTTTTCCTGGTGTGCTACACGTGAGGTACTTTTGTTTTTCTCTTTATTGTCTAATTATCTGTAAAGACTAGCCATTGTGAAGAGTTGCTTTTTTTTTTCCTGCCATGGAATCATTTGTAGACTTGTATTGTTCATCCTTTAAAAAAAAAAGTGTATTTAAAAGGTAACTGTGTCATGGTCCAAAATGTCTGGTGCAAAAAAAATCTTATTCCATACTTAGGAGAGATAATCAAAATTTAAATCTCTATTTTTAAAAGAATATATACACAAAAATTAGTGTATTGCTTGGCTGCATTTTCCAAGAAATTTTGATGAATCATCTTAGTGACATTTAAAAATATTTGGGAAAGCTTGTATTTTTCTGTTGTCCAAATCAGTGACTCACCCTGGGCTGCAATTGCACTATTACTGAATCTACTAAGATTTGATGCTATAAACTGAGTCTTAATAAGTCAGTTTCATATGTATTTCCAACCTGCTCACATTGAGCTGTTTTTATCATTTGAGATGTTTTGTGATTTCTCTTTTTTTTTTTTTATGAGTGAATAACTGATTCAAACTCATACCACTTCTGCCTTCAGTTACACCATTTGAGTGAGGATCACTTTAACTTTTATAATCAGAATTCATTCCCATTATCTCCTATGATACATGGAACCACATATTATACACTGCCTTTTCACCTCCTTTCTTGGTCATGCCTTTAATTGGAAAATCAATGGTGAGTTTGTAACCACTGATCAACAGAAACTTCTCATGTTGTCAAAGAGCATCTCATTAAATGTGAGAGCATGGATGCTTTAGCGAAGTTGCAGGATTGCAAACAATACTTGGTCCAAATGGAAACTGAGACATCATGAAATGTGGGAGCTCAATGCTGAAATTTTGGATTTCTGTTCTGTTGGTTACATCTTATTTTGTATGTATATGATACAGGTTCAGCTACATCTTCCTGGTAGTGAGCCGCAACACATGAAACTAGAAAATCAAACTCAGCTGTTAGAATTCCTTCTCCTGGGATTCTCAGAGGACCCAGCACTGCAGCCTCTCATCTTTTGGCTGTTCCTCTCCATGTACCTGGTCACTGTAAGTGGGAACCTGCTCATTATCCTTGCCATCATCTCAGACTCACGCCTCCACACACCCATGTACTTCTTCCTCGCTAACTTGTCCTTCTCTGACATTTGCTTCATCTCCACCACCATCCCCAAATTGCTGGCAAATATACAGACACAGAGCAGAGCTATCAGCTATGCAGGCTGCATCACACAGATGTACTTTTTTATATTCTTCATAGGATTGGAAATGTTACTCCTGACTGTGATGGCCTATGACCGGTTTGTGGCCATCTGTCACCCCCTGCACTACATGGTCATCATGAACTCCGGACTCTGTGTACAGCTCGTTCTGTTGTGCTGCCTCATTGAGGTTCTGAATGCACTTACGCAGAGCTTACTGGTGCTGAGGCTGAGCTTCTGCGCACTCGTGGAAATCCCTCACTTTTTCTGTGAGTTGAATCAGGTGGTCCACAGAGCCTGTTCTGACACCTTTCTCAATGACCTCATAATGTATCTTGCAGCTGTGCTGCTGGGAGGAGGTCCCCTGTCTGGGATCCTCTACTCCTACTCTAAGATCACCTCCTCCATCCGTGCCATCTCATCAGCTCAGGGCAAGTATAAAGCCTTTTCCACCTGTGCCTCTCACCTCTCTGCCATCTCCCTATTTTGTGGCACAGGACTAGGTGTGTACCTCAGTGCCAGCGCTGCCCCAAGGTTAGCCTCTATTGCAGCAGCCTCAGTGATGTACACAGTGATCACCCCCATGCTGAACCCCTTCATCTACAGCCTGAGGAACACAGACATGAAGAGGGCTATGAAAAGGTTACTGTTCCATAGATGATAGTGGAACCCATGGTGTTGGGGATTAGCAGTGTCGGTAGTTCATGTCTCAGCCTCAATGTTAGTCATTGAGATACATTTACCAGAGGAGGTAGCAGAGCTTGCTTAGTCTGTTCACTGTCTTGTATTTATTTTTATAATGCTTAATTTCTCTGAGTACACTCCAAATTGCAACATGTGTTATCTCTTTTTTTTTTTCATTTTAACTTATCATTAAGTCTTGGTTAAAGAGTTTAAATTGCATTATTATAGAAAAATGGAAGAAGGAGATGATTGAAGCAGTAAAATATGAATAATTTCTTAGAGATTTATTTAGGAAATGCATTAAATCTGTTCACTTTATATCCATAAAAGATTTAGAAATAAACATTTAAAAAGTCATAAGAATATCCTCATCTGCTTGTTAAACTCATGTAAACCAATGTTGCTATCCTGGCTGCTGGAATGGAAGTTTTGGCAAAACACTTGTTTCTTCATCAAAATTCTGAGAAATCTTCCTATTCTGGGTTGGACAATAAGTGATCAGAAACTTGTCTTTGTTGTACTTGTTCCCATGATGATTCTGAAAGGTGAGACACTGTCAGTTTATGGTTGTTTTCAATAGCTTGCACAAGCCACCTATCATTACTTAATAAGACTTAAAATATACCTGCATAAAATCCTGTGGAAGTTCATTGTAACTGAAGTACAAAGAAAAAGGAAATCTGAGTATCTCAGTGACATACATTTCACCATAACCCAATGAGTGTTGCCCACATATCAGATTTCTGGAGATGTCGCACCGTTTCTAAGAGAAGTGTAAGAACCTTCACGAAAATATGACTCAGCAGGTTTAGCTAATGCTTGCGATGCCATGGACCCACATGGAAGCAACAGTCTAAGTACCAGCATTCCCCTTCTGATCCACTCCTGGATAGTGCATCTGGGAAGGCTGCAGATGTGTGTGGATTCCTGTCACCCAGCTGGAACACCAGGAATAAACTCCTGGCTTCATGGAGAAGCCTAGCCATCATGGACAATTAGGAGTGAGCCAGCTGATGGAGGAAGATCTCTCCATGTCTCATTCCCTCCCTCTCAATCTCTCAGTCTCTTTGTTTTTTAAAATAATCTCTAAAACCATAACACAAAAATACTAAGAGAATAGTTATCTTTTACTTTCACGACTAAGCCAAATTATTTCTCATCTTTCATTTTTAGCTTTCTGTAGACATTGTAATGCCATTTTCCAGCAGTATAGTATTAATTCAATTGTTTTTAAAATCTTAGTTTCCTTTATCAAAAAATATCAAAAGGTTTATAATAGACAGAGCCAAAGTATGAGGAAAATTCTATACCTAAAAACAAAAGCAATAACAAAAACAGAAATATGCATAAAGTTTCAAAATATTTTAACAGAATTATCTTGCCTATTTTAAACATTTATTTTTCTCTTCATACAGTTAGAAAGAAGAAGAATTAGAATGATTGAGAGTTAGAACGAAAAACAGAAAGAGAGAGAGAGATAGAGAGATTTCCTATTCTCTACATGATCATAACAACTGAAACTAAACAGTCTCAAACCACATGAAGGCAGAGGCCCAAACAAGCAAGCCATCTTCCATCACATTCTCAAGCACATTATAAGGAAAATGGAGCACAACTGCCTAGGCTGCCTTGTCCCTAGCAAGGATTGCAGGGCTGGGAAAAAAATGGCTAGTAGCTGGTGTGCATTTGGGCATGGTTAATACCAAATCTGTGTTAACTATCCCACTATGCCAACACAGTTGCCTTTTCTTTTTTTCTTTCTTTTATTTTTTTTCTTCCTATTTAAAACAATAGAGAAGCTGGAGACCTCGAGGCTGAGGCATGTCACCATGGCTCCAGGCAGATGGCTGCAGAGCGAGGCCTGAGCACATATTGGTGTGGGAGTGCTTGAGGGCATGTTGGACAGGGGAAGAATGACTTCTTGGATTTTCCACAGATTGGGTCACTGCACCAGCAGGAAGACAGGTAAGCTGGAAGGGTTTAGACAGGGAACATGGAGTACATGTAGCTGTCTGTGAGTGTCAGAGATAGGGATGGGCCATGTGAGAATGGGCCACAGCACCCACCACGATGCTAAAGAACTGAATTTAGGGCTAGATTATCTAGGAGATGCGTGCTTTCTTCTATGGGACTACAGCCCAAGCTGGTTTACATGGAGAGCTTGGGATGGTGACAGCCCAAGGCAGGGTGGGCAAAAAAACTCAACTGACAAGGATGCACCTAAGGTCCCAGTGTGGTAGCCTAGCAGCTAAAGTCCTCACCTTGCACACAGCAGGATCCCATATGAGTACCGTTTCTAATCCTGGCTGCCCCACTTCCCATCCAGCTCCCTGCTTCTGGCCTGAGGGTGTGAGCAGCCAAGGATAGCCCAAGGCCTTAGGACACTGCACCTGTGTGGGAGATTAAGCAGTGGCCCCTAGAACCTGGCTCCTGGTTTTGTATTGCTGCGGCTCCACAATGGACAGAAGATCTTCCTCTCTGTCTCCTCCTTTATCTATGTCTGACTTTCCAACAAAAGTAAAATAAAAGTTGAAAAATAAATGAAACCACTTGACACTCGTGGGAGCTGGGATTGTAAAAAGAACAATTGGGGCCAGCACATGCAAGGTGCTGAGCTGAGGGCAGATAATGCCGAGCAGGGTTGCTGCCTTGCTGACACGTGTGAGAAGCGGGGCTGTGAACAGGCTTGGTGGCAGAACTTGAGGAATGACCTGCAAGTTTGTAATTCCCAATGAAAAGTACATGTGCTACAGTTGGAGGCAGGTGAGCCCATGCAAGTCTGCAGCATACATCAACATTTGTGTGGGCCAGGCCTATGCACATGACAGCATACAGAAGAGCCTGAACACAATGTGCCCAGCTGACCTGAGCTACAACATCCACTTGCAAGAGCTGAGACTGTGGATGTCTCAGGCAGCATTGTCTTTAACTCCTGCAAAAACACATGTGTCCTGTGGCTCAGAACATGCCTAGTAGGGGAAATCTTCACACTCCCTTGCTGGGTTGTAGCTCCCAGTATTGAATCTGAGAGCCAGGGTTATGTGAGGAAAAGATTGGGCAATATTACAGCACCTGTCAGCATGCAGGTAGGCTGGCCTGGGGGCAGGCAGCCTGGAATAGACCCCAGGACACTACCACTTGCATGAGCCATCCTTTGATGACCTGCTCAACATCCCATGCTGACCTAGATGAGCTGGCTGTCGTGTCTCCCATGATGTCCACTACTCTGGCATCAGCAACAGGGGAGACACAGTCCCAACACCTACACTGTAGGGTTAGAGTCCAGTGATCCACTTGGAGAGTCCCCCAGAAATCACCTGGGGTGACATTACACTTGACTCTTGTGTGTACTAGCCAGGGCAGGGTCAGATTCAGTCCATCACCTACACCAGGCAACAAACATACTGTTTCCTAGACACAGTTAACACACGAACTGATGGGTGCCGTTGCCCAGCAGTAGGTACAGCCTGGCAGAAAAGTGCCCACAGTCCCCTTGTCGGGCTTGTTCCCAACACCAAATCCCGCAACAGCCAGAAGCTGCTACAGTCTTGCCTGAGAGGGCTCAGATTTACTTCTGGCAGTTGTCAGCTGAACTATGGCCTAGCTCAGTTGGCCTGCACCCATTCAAGCTCTTACGTTAGCCAATGAGTGTGGTAGCTAGCCCTGCCAGTCCCACACCTTATCTGCCCCAACCTTATCTGCCCCAACACCCAGTCCCAGCTCTTTAACTCACCAGTGGAAGTAGCAGCCAGCAAGGGAGTCTCAAAAGTTACCCTTCCAGGCCTACTCGTAGCCCCTGGTTTGTGTTTTCCAACTGGTACTAAGCCCAACCTGAGATGGCCCAATTGAATAGTCTAATTTTACTTTTATTCTTCCGAATGCATTTTTCCATATATGAATAAATTATTTTAAAGACTTTTAAAGAATCATTTTATTTGTTTAGATATATAATACCCTAACAATATGAGAATTGATATATGTAAGCAATGTATAATAATCAATGTATAATAATCAAAGCATGATCATTGCATTTGCATCTCCTTTAATATTATCCTACATATAATGGGCCTGGTGTTGAGACCTAGTGGCTAAAGTTCTCACTTCCATGTGCCAGGATCAAATATGGGCACCAGTTCTAATCCCAGTGGCCAAGCTTGCAGCCAGCTCCCTGCTTGTGGCCTAGGAAAGCAGTTGAGCCCAAAGCCTTAGGTCCCTGCAACCACATGAGACCTGGAAGAAGCTCCTGGCTCCTGGTTTTTGATTGGCTCAGCTCTGACCATTGCAGTCACTTGGGGAGTGAATTATCTGGTAGAAGATCTTTCTCCCTCTCTCTCCTACTCTCTGTATATCTGATATTCAAAAAATAATAAATCAATCTTTTAAAATATGTTATCCTGGGCCGAGAATGATGGCACAGCAGTTAAGGTCCTCCCCTTGCACATGTTGGGATCCCATATGGGTGCCGGTTCTAATCCCGGCAGCTCCACTTCCCATCCAGCTCCCTGCTTGTGGCCTGGGAAAGCAGTTGAGGATGGCCAAAGTCTTTGGGACCCTGCATCCATGGGGGAGACCTGGAGGAGGCTCCTGGCTTCAAACTGGCTCAGCTCCAGCCATTGCGGCTACCTGGGGAGTGAATCATCGGATGGAAGATCTTCCTCTCTGTCTCTCCTCTTTGTATCTGCCTTTCCAATAAAATAAATAAATAAATAAATCCTTAAATATATATTTATTATCCTATATACGAATTGAGAAGATTATGACTCTAATTAATTTGAAATGTATAATAAAGTATTGCAAGCTGACTTGAAAATATTAACTCAGGCACATATTACACTCAGGCTGAGTGCACCACTAACCACTATAAAAATTTAAAGAAATCAGGTCCGGCGGTGGGGCCTAGCAGCTAACGACCTCACCTTAAATGTGCCAGGATCCCATATGGGCGCCGGTTCTAGTCCTGGCAGTTCCACTTCCCAT